AAGAAGAAGAAGAAGAAGAAGAAGAAGAAGAAGAAGAAGAAGAAGAAACAACAACAAGAAGAAAGAAGAAGTGAAGAGGGAAGAGAAGAGGAGGAGGAGGAGGAGGAGGAGGAGGAGGAAAAGGAAGGAAGAGAAGGAGGAGGAGCAGGAGAAGAAGAAGAAGAGGAAGAAAGAAGAGACAACAAGAAGAAAGAAGAAGCGAAAAGGGAGGATGGAGGAGGAGGAGAAGGAGAAGAGGAAGAGGAAGAGGAGGAGGAGGAGGAGCAGGAGCAGGAGGAGGAGGAGGGTAGCAGCTATGGAGCTCCTTGATGGTCTCTGAGCTTGGCAGTTTTCTGGCAGACATTTCATGACCCAACTAGGTAACACTATCAGTCAGTACTGATTACCGTACTGTTACTACAGAGCTGATGATGTAACCTAGTTGGGTCATGAAATGTCTGCAAAAAAAGAAAAAAAAACCAGAGAGCACCAAGGACCCTACAGATCTCCTCCTCCTCCCACACCCTACTCCCAGGGGTGGGATCCGACAGGGTTAACTATTGGTTCGGTGAATTATGATGTTCGGTGATTTCTGATGTGCTTCTCTGCAGGCTGCGTGCCCACCTGTAAATTGTCATCAGCACGCTGCGTGCAGAGAAGCAGCCTTTCAAAAAGCCCCTTTTTCCTGCTTTTTTAACTGCAGCTGTGCCTTGTACGGCAGCTGAGGTTGAAAAAGCAGGAAACGTCAGGTAAGAGCCCGGGCAGGCGGGTGGGCCAAAACATCAGCAGACATAGAACCGGTTCTATGTCTGCTGCTCTTCAGAGCTACCGCTTCTGCAGAGGTGGACAGAACCGGTAGAAACCCATCCCTGCCTACTCCCTTATAGAACTGATGATGTTCCCTAGTTGGGTCATGAAACGTCTACAAAAACCCCCCGCCAAGAGAGCCTCAAGAATCCCTTATTTCAATCTATAGCTACAAATATTCTCCTTTATTGCCCTTTCGATCACCAAAGGGCAGAAGTGCGACGAGCTACGGTCTGCCCAATTGTTTCCAAGCTGCCACTCACAGCTGGCATTCTTCTCCTTTGATCCCTTTGGTTGTGCAGAAACACTTCCCGGTGTTGGTGTTGCAGATGGATGCGTGGCCGTTACACTTGCAGGCTGCAAGAGAAAAAGGCATATTTCCCACAAAATATATACAAACCATTCGGAAAGGAGGAAGTCAACAAGTTGCATGCAAATCGGGCAGGCGGATTTTCTCCGGCAATGGGTAGGTAGTCCTCGACTTACAACCGCAAAGTTGGGCCTGGCATTTTGGGTTGCTAAGCCGGATGGTAGCTAAGTGAGTTGGGCCCCGTTTTACGACCTTGGTTCTGACCCAAGCCTCGTTCAAATCAAATAAACACAAAGTATATATAAAAGCAAGCCTTTTTAATGTGTTTCTGTGAATTTGGTTCATTCACGGCAAAGAGTCATTAAAACCAATTGTCCCAGATAAGAGCAAGCCTTTTCAAGGTTGTGCAAGGCTGCCAAGAACACTAGATAAAGTTGCCAAGACATAGTTCAAACACAAAGAGTCTCCAAAAACAAACTAAGAGAGTCCGAAGGTCCACAAGGCTTGAGTGCAAAAATGTCTTTGCTTCCTGCAAAGAACTCCGGTTTCTCCGCTGGCTTTTATCCCTTAAGGGAGGGGCCATCACCTTGCAGCCTTACTCCCGAGTTGCCCGTATTGACACAGCTGCTCTTTCCTTCGAGCAGCCCTGCGTGCACGCGCACTGGGCACAGGCTCCTCAGGAACCTCTTCCTCACTGCTGCCAGCCTCCACAATCTCCGAAGGCAGCACTCCACTCCCTGATGGTCCTGACCCCATCCCTGCGTCACATGCAGGCCCCTCATCTGAGTCCTCGCTCTCCGAGACCTCAGCCATCCGCCCCTGCTGCCGGCAAAACAGAACACCTTTCCTGCCACAGTTGTTACGCGAATCATCGCAGTTGTTAAGTTAGTAACCCGGTTGTTAAGTGAATATGGATTCCCCATTGACTTGTCAGGAGGTCGCAAAACGGGGACGCTGCGACTGTCATAAATATGAACGCGTTGCCGAGCGTCTGAAGTTTGATCACATGACCACAGGTGGCAGCTATAAAATAGACATAGAAGTCAGCGAGCTGTCAGGATTCCGGCACTTACCCCCAATTAAATCATGAGTCTCGAGAGAAACTTCCAAAACTTCAAAAGGATTTATTGAGAGTTAACATGTCTGGCACTGCCTGGGTGTAGCCGACTCTTGAGACACATAATTCATTGTTACCCTTGACCCTGGTTTTCTCCCACCCCTCTGGGTGTATCCTAATTCATATTCTCCAATGGGACACATCCATAGCCAAGAGTCATCAATCATGCTCTCCAGTTAGAATTTTGCACAGCAGAAACTTCAGTCCTCTACTTCCTATCTTTGAAAACATTGATGGAATGCACTTTCAGTTTCCAAGCTGCTGCACTGCTCCCCCCTCCCTTTCTGTTGGCAACTCTAAAACGACCAGAGAAATGTTTAATGAGTTGACCACAGGAATACTGCGATGGCCATAAATGTGAAAAAGTTGTTAAGTCCCTTTTTTCAGTGCCATTGTAACTTGGAATGGTCACTACAGGAACCGTTGTAAGTCGAGGAAGAAACTGTTCTAAGACTTACAGGGTGTTTTCTCCTCTTAACGGGAAATGCAGAAAAAAGTGGTGGATTTGCGTCTACACGCTAGGAATGTTTAGCAACCCAGATCTGAACGGGAAAAGGCAACCAAGATATTAGAATAAACAAAGGTGGAAGGGACCTTGGAGGTCTTCTAGTCCAACGCCCTGCTCGGGAAGGAGACCCTATTCCATTCCAGACAAATGGTTATCCAGTCTCTTCTTAAAAGCCTCCAGGGATGAAGCATCCACAACTTCTGGTAGCAGGTAGTTCCACTGGTTAATTGTTTCTTACTGTCAGGAAATTCCTCCTTAGCTCCCGGTTGCTTCTCTCCCGGATGAGTTTCCATCCGTTGCTTCTTGTCCTGCCTGTTAGGGGCTATTTTGGAGAAATAGCTTGACTAGCTTGAGATGATTCAAAGCATGCGGTGGGAAGAAGGCACCTCGCGGCTTCTGCCAACTGCAAATTGCCACACGACATGTGCAGAGCGGGAGAGGGGAGGAAAAAGAGAGAGGGAGGGAGAGAGGGAGTAGGGGAGGGAGGGAAGGAGAGAGAGAGAGAGAGGGAGAGGAATGTTCCTTTCTTCTCGGAAGCCATGACTTTGATTTGCAAAAGTTGTCAGCCCTCAAGGCTGCAGAGATAAGCTTTTAAGTGCGTCACCGAAAACCTGCCAGAAAAAGAACAGGGGAGGCTACATTGCGAATGCCGGAAAGCAACAGCCCCCACAGGCACATTATACCAACACGGGCACCGTCGCAGCCCGAGGCTGATCCTATCGTTTTCAAAGACGCTGAGAGAGGGAGTGCGTGCACCCAGCCGATCCCTGTATTGTTGGTTCCGCTCCTCTGTGGATACATATTTCTTGGTTTGTTCTGTTTATTTGTTTATTTAATAGTTTGGGAAGAAACATATTGTTCTTCCCAAGATCGTAATTAAGCCCACGCTTAGTTAAAACAACGCTTGTTTTATTTCAATACTGGGAATTTAGTTCATTCCCGGCCGGTAATGAGTCCCAAACAGTTCCTCGAGATAAGCACCCACCTTTTCTTTCCTTTGAATTGCTGCCAACAACTAGTGTTCAATTAACTGTAAAAAACCAGCCGAAGTACAAAATCCACACAGAGCTTCAAGGATTAATCCGAACAGAATGAACAACTTTGCTTCCTGCAAAGGTTTCATCATCTTGGCCTGACTTTTCTCCCTTAGGGGAGGGGCAATCACCTCCCAGCCTTACTCCCGAGTTGCCCCTTTTGTCTCAGCTACTCTTGCCTTCTGGCAGCTCTGCGCACACGCGCACTGGGAACAGGCTCCCCTGGGTCCTCTGCCTCACTGCAGTCAGATACTGGAGGCTCCAGAGTCCACACATAACTCCCAGATAGCCCTGGCCCCCATCTCTGTGTCGGATGCAGGACCCTCGTCCGAGCCCTCCCCAGACTCCCAGACTGGCCCATGGTCCTCTCCACTGTCCGACTCTGCTGCCGTCTGTGCAGGCTGCCGTCGAACCACAACAGTTTCACTTCTCATCCAAGAAGCTTCTTCAGCTCAGACAGGATGGTGGGCAAGGTTTTCCTGTCAGTCATGTCCGACTTTAAGGCATGGCACCCGTCTCTGTTTCTCGGCCGAGAGAACCAGTGTTGTCCGAAGACAATTTCCGTGGTCATGCAGCCAGTGGGACGATACGCTGAGGCACACGGAATGCTGTGACCTTCCCACCAAAAGTGGTGCCTATTTGTCTACTCGCATTTGCTTGCTTTCGAACTGCTAGGTAGGCAGCAGCTGAGACCAGGATGGGAGCTCACCCTGTCTGCCGGCTCTCTAGCTGACAAGCTCAGCATCTGGAATTTCTGCGCCAACTCAGGAAGCTCAAACTTCCCAAGGAGCTGCTGACCCAGTTCTATAGAGGAATGATTGAGTCTGTCACCTGCACCTCTATACCAGGGCCTGGTTTGGTTCTGCAACCCAACAGGACACAGAAACAGACTCCAGAGAGTAGAAAAAACAATGGCTACCAACCTGCTTTCCATGGAGGACCTGTATACTGCACCCTGGGTCCAAAAGAGGGCTGTGAAAATATCTACAGACCCCACACATCCCGGACATCAACCGTTTCAACTCCTACCCTCAAAACGACACTATAGAGCCCTGCACACCAGAACAACTAGATACAAGGAGAGTTTTTTCCCCAACGCCATCACTCTGCTAAACAAGCAATTCCTTCAACACGGTCCAACTATTTACTAAGTCTGCATTACTATTATTATTAATCCTCCTATCCTTCCTTTCACCCATCTCTTCCCACTTATGACTGTATGATTATAACTTTGTCGCTTGTATCCTTACGATTTATATGGACTGTTTCCTAGTATGATTTGATGGCTTATTGTACCTGATGACTATCATTAAGTGTTGCACCTGATGATTCTTGGCTCTTGATGAATGTATCTTTTCCTTTTATGTACACTGAGAGCATTTGCACCAAAGACAAATTCCTTGTGTGTCCAATCACACTTGGCCAATAAAAGAATTCTCTTCTCTTCTCTTCTCTTCTCTTCTCTTCTCTTCTCTTCTCTT